GTGGGTAAACAGCTTAGCTGGAGTCCCACACACACCAGAGCGACAGACCACCAGCTCTGGGAGTGCATAAAAGAGCATTTCCCAAACCTCACCGATCCATCCAAAAAAATAAAAACACTATGATATTCAGACGACCGGCCTAACGAAACGTTAAGATTCGCGGGCGACTTTGAGCGTGCGAGAGCGTACGCAGTACTTGTGTTTATCTATGCCAGAACGATCGACGCCGAAACGCATTCCATTCATCTCGCACCGTGCCATAAGGAGTTATCAGTTTCAAAAAAAGTTTTACGAAATTTGTAATTAACCTGTGTATGTATATCAAATTATTTTCTTTAAATTTAGGCAATAAACACAGACTGCAAACCAAGTTTTCTGGTTTAAAATACTCTAAACTCTAAACCATAAATATTTCAATAACTAATAATTTATGTAGCAAATTTTTAACTATACTGAAACTAGTAATCACATTATTATATTATATTCGGTTTTTATGATCTAATTCTGCTTTTTTTCAGAAAAAAACTTGGACCGAAGCTATAAGATTCCCAAGCGAAGCAAACTCTCCGATGATAATGCCACTGGTGCCATCGTATGTACTGCATCTGATTTTCCGACCAATCATAGCGATACTCCCTTACAGGATTCTTATTATAATTATCCTTATGATCCAAGAGCTTCGTCAGCGTATTATCAAAATTATCCATATTTTCAAGAATATGGGAATCTCCCAGGTCAAGGTATATATTGCCTATAGAAATTTTATAAAAGTGAATGTAAGTGGCAGTTATTTGACTATTATTAAACAGGAGCAATGTTGATTTAGTATGTTTAATGAATATTCAATTAAATTGGCGTTAAATGTAAATTAATTGTATGTATGTTTGGGTTAGAATCAAAACATATCAAATGTGCATGTGTGCATGCTATATTTTATTTTCAATTTTCTTTTTAGACCATCTTTCTTAGCACCTGTGGTTACATTCTTTAACGCGATGTTTCAAAAGTGTAGTACCTGGTTATATAATTAATTCTGCAGGCTTCGATGTTACAAGCAAACATGCACGCAATCCGGTTGTTGCTCTTTGCCAGATTACAGTAACCTTTAGACACCCACCTAAACTATAAACTTTAAATTACGGTCACAAATGTTACAAAAACAATTTGTCGAAAATTACCACACATCTTATATACGGTGTACGAATCAAAAGTGAAATGAAAATTGTACTTTATTATATTCGAAAAATGGCCCGACATCAACTTCATATCAAAATCAATTCCTGGGCTTCAGTCATTTATTGTCGCCTTGGCATATATTTGTCAAGGCTTAAAGTAGCAACAACGCTACACATAGAAACTGATGATGGTGGAAAACACCGAAACATATTTTAATTGATAAATAGACAATAAATGACTGAAGCCCAGGAATTGATTTTGATTTGGAATTGAAACACAGTCAGGAAAGTATGTACTATCAACTTCATAGTTGGGGGGGATACATTATGAACGTATATTCGCTTCTTTCACATACCTTTAAACACCGAAGCGTGGTTTTGGGCGAAAATTAAATTAAAAAAATAAATGGAAAGTAGTATAGAGTTTGTTTGAAAAGCCTTTTGATTTCGATACCCAAATTGACCAACAATTTATTCAGCAATGTTTTTCAATTTCTCGGTTCCGAATTAGGATTCTGAACGTCCTTTTCAGTTATAAATGAATCATCATCAGAGCAAATAGCTTCAGACCCAAATTTGAGCACGAGCAAATTAGCTGCAGTTAGTAACATCACCAGAACAACTATTCTACGGATATTGAAACAAGGCAAATTTCATCCATACAAGATTAATCTAATGCACCAATTAAATGGRGATGATTTTTATCGGAKAATCGCTACTTTGAAAATTGTAAAATGTATTTAAATCATTCTTGTTGTTCTTGGATGACTYGAAAACTTCAGTTTCTCATTTTTCTATACAATGAWTTGACTATGGACATGTATTTAATTACATCTGCTATCAACATCTATCCGCTGACTTATTTTTTATAATTTGATGMCAAATTGGAAAATATGTTTTGCTGTAASAACGCAGAATAGCCATTTTTTAAGAAGATTTCYTCTGCCCTCATTTAGTGTGCATGCACTATACCGTTTTAATTAATTGAAAGAAGAATGTATATAGTCTCTTCAGTTTTATTGTTGTATACTTATCGAAAATGTTAAAAACCCAATAAAATGTGAAAAATTATAAACGTTATGTATAACATTCGATCGGTTACAGGTTTCTACAGAGCTGGGGAGTATGCTCCAGGACGAGGTGTTAAGAGGCCTGCTGATTTTTTGGGTAATTACAAATACATATATCTTAGTACTAATAGTGGATAATTTAGCTGTACTTAGATACAGAATATTTATACATACACATACGTAAAAAAGCTCCTTTACTTTGTAATAAAAATGGAATCACATAACGTGCACATAATATGCACATAAAATATTTGCCAGAATCTTAAAAACTATTGAAATGTTAAAAAATCCTAAGTCTCCAATTATTAGCAAATATTCGATACACTCGCACTAGTGCGTCCGAATGCTGCCAAGATTAAAGCGCAAATTCATCAAATATCATATTTTAGGACCTAATCTCGGTGCGACACCGTTTATGGATGATAATGTAGTTCCAATAGAACAATCAATTTGCAATACTTTGAAAAGCATTAAGGAATTGCCAAAAACCCAACGAGCAAATATCTGTAAGTATATACACTGTCCAGTTTTTTTTATATTCGTTTGTACACTATTTAAACAAATAGAATGATTTATAAAATTTTAGTTGAGAGAACTGTGCCAGATATCGCGGACGAAAGCCTTCCGAAAGAATTAAAATTGCTATTCCAACCGCTTTACTGCAAATTATGTTCTGTTCAACTGTCCAGTAATCAGACAGCAATAATGCATTACAAGGCAAAGAGCCACGAGAAGAAGATAAGAAAATGGTTAACGGATTGGGCGGTCAAAACAGGCGAACCTTTGCCCAAGAGGGCCACAGCTCCCCGTGAAAAAAAGACAGAGGTAGTCTTAGAAAATTTAAGATTTTTCTCATTGCTAATAACTTGCCTTAGCTTCGTGAAAAACGACATTTAGTAAAATTATTTTATTTTCATAAAATGAAAATGTTTATCAAATTTCTTAAGAACTTTAGAGGTACTAACGCAAACTCACAAGCTGCTTAGTTATTTGACTAATGTTAAATCAATTTTCAGGATCTAGTTGAAAAAAATCCTTCCTGGTTTCATTGCGATGTTTGCGATTTAGATCTAACGGGACAGATTCATGCTGAATCTCACTACATGGGCAGAAATCATCAGAAGTACGAACTATTGTGGTTTTATGGTTGATTTGCCTTATTTAAGCGGGACTGGCGAATATATATCTACTGATTTTTATTCGTTGATAGACCGGTTGTTTATAAAAACATAAAATAATTAAATATGTACCGAAAATGTGTATTAAAAAGCTAATCTATTTCCATAATCTTACTATTCAATTTGATTCTTGCATAAACATAAAGAAAGCTGAAATCTGCCACTTTGCCGTTCATTAAGCTCACATTTTGTTACATTTAAAATTTCAGTTTCAAATAAAGCTTGGTATAGCGTCAACATGTATTATTTGTTGTGGAAATATCAAGATCAATTTGATAGCAATCGGAGTATTGTCTAGTAACTTATTGAGTGTATCAACAAATAATCTAGTATTTTTGACATTATTGCGCAGATTGAAAATTTGCATATAAAGTGACAAATTAGTTGAAAATTTACCGGTTTATGAAAAAAGCTTTGTTCCTAAATATAAACGATCATATTAAAACTACGGAAAAATCGGACATTTCCATATTTAACTAAATATTATATTCGCCAAACCTATGTTAATTATTAGCATCTGAATTTGAAAATACCGAAGTTTGTTTATTTTTAGGGCTCTATTAGGTCATAAAAGCCCCGCTGGTTCGGGATATTATGATAAAGACGGAAAATGGGTTCGAATTAAGTAAGTTAAAGTTTAAGATATTCAAACAGTTAGGAAATAAAGCTTTTACCGTCTGAATCTATATATAATTTAACACCAGATCATCAAAAAAGTGAGCTGAGTATAAAATGCACTGTATATCTAGAGTCAGTCCCTTAGTTTTAATGTTAAATAAAATCATCCATCACCATTTTATAGACACTTGAAATCTAAATCGATGGACGAAAAAGGCGAAGACAGTTTTGGTGCGGATTTCAAGAAAAACCTTTCAGCGTCATCCGTTGATGCTGCCCCACAACAAAAGAAGGAGGTTACGCCCATTTCCAATTACCATTGCAAAGTGTGCAATATTTACACCACCCACCCAGACATTTTGGAGAGTCATTTCAAGTACGTTCGTCAAGTATAATAATATTTTCTATTTTTCAAATAATTGTTGCATTTTTAGAGGTCAAAAGCATGCGAAAAAGTTGAAACACCTTGGCATTGTTGCGTCTGGTGAATCGAAAAATTCTGCAGAAGAAACAGGTAAAGTTATCTTAGAATTTTTGATCAAAATAATATTGCCACGATAATATAATCACAAAAATAGCAGTTTTATATGTTTTACCTTTTTAAGCGATTAGACCTACGACAATATCCACCGCCATAGACAACAAAACAAACAATGAAGTTAATTTAACAGCGTATCGTACACCATCTGGACTCTACTACTGTGCTATATGTAATACTACCATTAATTCAGAATCTTCGTTTCTGCAACATCTAAACAGTAAAGGACATGATAAAAAATCACAACTCAAATCGAAAGGTACCATATAAAAACCTGGTAGATGTACACATTTATATTGTATAATGTATAATAATATGAACGTGTGCTGTTTAAGCTAGGATACTCATGGCCTGAAGATATACATTGTTTATCTTTAATTTTATCAAAATCTTGTTATTTCTTAGTTATTAGAAAAAAATCGGCTGTAATATTTATTATTTAACTATTAGTTAGTAAATCCTAACTAACAGGCTCCCCTTTCGACTTAGGAACATGTTTCAGGAACTCACGTAATTACTAAATCTCACTCGTTCCAGGCATTATTTGTTTAGAGTCCACTTCAGAGTTATGTTACATTCATACATTTACGAGCCCAAACACCTATAGATTCAGACTATGTTCAATGAGTAGGAAATAAATCATTTATATTTACTTTAGATATATTTTTTGTTTCTTCTGCTGACAAATGAATTCATTATCCCTTTACGCAGCATAAAAGCTAACAATGGAAAACATTTTTTTATTCTGCTTTTTCTCTGTAGCAAATTAGCAAAAATGTAACAAACTTACTGAAATAAATATTCGGACGCACTTTAATACAACTATAGTAAGGCGAAGTAACATCACCGTTTGCTACACTAGAGTTTGGCAATATTATGGGGTGAGCGAATTTCAAATTTTCGTTTGCTTTTGCTATTTTTACTTGTAGATCTTTTTTATTTCCGTCACCAATCAAATATTTTGAAATGGGTAAACAGAAGTAAAACAATGGCAGTCTGTTACGGAAAAGTTATTATTAGGATTAATTACAATCAAATATACAACCATCAGGTATGGAACTGCAGCTATTCTCTGCAATTTTTGCCTGATTTAGAATCTATATAACATACCAGATGAAAATTGCATGATGAAATTGAATCAATCGATCATGTTAGGGTTATTTTACTTTGTATACCCATACTGTGTCTATTCCATGTCCTATGGTTTTTATGGGGGTCATATTTGGTAGAGGAAATCTACATGCTAATACGTTACATTCAGGTTTGCACTCTCTAAGAAACTTCTTTTCCAATTCATTCATCTATAATTTAGTGCATAGCATTAATAACAGTTTAATCAATACCCGGAGTAAGTATCTTACCATTTGTTCTACCCCAAATATTACTATATTATCATAACTGGCAATATTATATTTCCAAAGATCCTTTTGGAAAAATTTGGTTTTGTTGCTCAAACCACTTTTTAACGCATGAATCTTAGAGTACATAACAAGCCAGGGATTAAGTTCAACACCGTGCGAGACAAAGTTGTGCTTAGCTGTTTCTAGAAAAGCTTTCTATAAGTATTAAACATTTAAACTAATTAACTGAAAACGTTAGTTCACTCAATATTACCGGTGTCTTACCAATAACAATTCGCCCATCACCAGAGCCCAAGTCAAGCAACGTGCCTGATTTGCCTCTTAAGGCGCTTAAAATATTTACTAATTGGTCATTTGTAGCTGGTATGTATGGCAAACAGAATTTTCTTAGTGCTGGACTTACAAAGGGAGCACATATTACAGTTAAACCTATGGCCACGCCTCCTAAAAAACCAGAACTTCAAAAAAGACCCGTATCAGGGGCCGGGAAAGTCTTGCAAATGTTAGAAAGAATCGTTAGCGACTGCAGTACATAGTTTTTCATTCAGTCAATAAGAGTAATTAAAAATTGGAATCGGAAAAACAAAATTAATTATTTTTTCCGTATATGGTTGTAATAATTGATTGATATCTCGTAAAGATTTTCGCCCCTAAGAAAATCTGCAGAGACAACAACGGGAGCGTTCTAAACTTAAAACTAGCTCTAGCTAGGGGTTGATCACAAAGTGTCAAAATTGGCTTACAGGAAGTATGTTATGTTTCATCAGCACAAAGCCAAGCCACACACGTTTATAGCAAAGCGCCAGAAACTTCAGCAGCTTGATTGGGAATTTTTGATACATCCACCAAATAGTCCGGACCTGGCACTAAGCGATTACCTTGTTTTTAATGTGCCAATCGATTACAAGAGAAGACAAACGCTATGACAGAGGCATTATGAATCTAGATTTACAATGGTAAAAAATTATAGAATAAAACGGTGCATGTTTGCCCTAAATCGGACACTGCGAAACATGTAAAATAAAGTCTAAGTTCACGTAAAAATAATGGACTTCTCTTTCCCCAAGACATAATAATTCCTTAATCTTAACTTCAGTATTGTATCGTTCTTTTAGAATACTCTTCTTTCTTTCGTTCTTTTAGAATATTTTAATTTTATAAAACAAACGGAATCATGACAAATTAAAACCTTCTACAAACTTTGTGTCCCATGGAGTTTAAAAGTGAAAAACAACAAACACTGCTTTTAAAGCTTTAGAAGATTTGTATGATGAGCGAACAGAGAAGAATGTGTTGTTTCTAGCTTCAATAAAAAAGCCTGAGAAACTACCGACCAACAGATTTACATAAAAAATTGAGCAAGAATCCTAGTTTCACATTTATGAATATTAAACAGAGCTCAGGTTTTATGTGTTATTTATTTATGTGTATATTGTTATCAGTGGTGGTTTACCACAAGAAGCATTTTACGTATTCCGAAAAAGTTTAATTATGACAAAACTTTTAAAACTGCCACATTCACTTGATATCATATGCTAGATATTTTACTACAGTAATTAATTAATGGGGAAGAAACATATTTAGAAAACATTCTAGCAATGTTTGTAAGGAAATTGACTTTTCGGATGGCTGGCGGATGCAAAAACGTTCTACAACTGTTCTGGACATCGAGTTATTAGAAAAAAAAATTGTAATAGATTTTTGGCTAGACCGAGAATGAATAGTAGCTAAATAAACAACAAAAGCTATTTTAATAATTAATTTATGAAGAGTTATTCAGACATTTTTTAAAGCAAAATTTGCTTTAAAAAATTTTCAGAATTTTTATTATAATAATCCAGAAAAAAATAGAGAATACAGCTCCAAAAAAGTTCCTGATTGGTTGGTAAAGTTTAAAATCTTTCAACTTTTATATTAATTAGCCGACTTGAACGTATTACTTTGTAATTTGGAGCTCAATTCTTAGTGATATGAAGGGTAGGAAATGTTAATTTTTCCTTTTCCATGACAAATAATGAAGAACATATTGTAACGGAAATGGCCTGGGGTACTTACGTTTGGAATGGGGGATCGAAATTCATGATATTTCAGTAAATGGGAGCCCCATTTTTCCCGTTCCCGTATTTAAAGTTATACCGAGGTGAATAAAAGCTAAAAATTGGAAGCTGAAGAAAGAGTTTGATACTCGGCCATCCACGGTACAATATCAATCCGCGAATTTCATGATTTTTTGAAACGCTGTTTTAATTGACACCAAATGTATAAAATCCTTACGAAAATGCGTCTTTTGTTGAATCGCATACTAATTGCATTGTGGAATAGTACAAATTACATTTACAATTCTTCATTGTGGTATATTCCAATCGTACGAATCGATTAAGCTAAAACAGTTCGTTAAAATGAAGAAACTTAACCGCCAGAAATTTTATTTGGGAATATAGGCGTTTGCAGAAGACTTCCTGTATGGATAGGGTTCGAAACGAACAAGTTTTGAGAAGAACAGCTAAAGAAAACATTAAAGTTTTGTTAACCGTCCGGAAACAAACTTGAATTGCCGAATCTCCAAAGATGAAATTTATTCATTCATCTCTTGCCTGTGTATCATTTGGTCTGTCATCTATTGAGCTGGAAATTTCAACATCTATGGTAAGAACAACCTCCAGTGGAGATGCTGACCAAGACTTAATTATTATGATAATGCAAAGGCCATTTCTTACAGTATTGGTGGAGTACGCACACTACGTCCTAATTCATTTCGTAGAAGCTCAACAAGATTTATATCTAGACTAAATTGGAGATATCAGCAATTTCGAAGTAAATGCACAGGCTCTGTGCTGTCGGCCGAGCATTATCATGCAATAGAAAAGAATTCTGATGGTCTAGCTCGACAACATTTTGAACGTACTGCGCTAAGATATTATTAGGAAAAAAATCAAGCATTTATTTTTCCCAAGATGTATAAAGGGATGCAGAAAACGCAGGGAGAACTTCTAACTGGGTCTTTTGTCTTAAGGTTCAGATTCTTAAGATCAACGAGGCTGCGAACTACCAATGGAAATAAGTTGTGAGGATAGTACGCTATCAATTGAGAATGCTTCTGTATAGAGCTATTGTTTCACCTTTATGTAACATAACTCCTTATGGGACTTGTTTAGGCTTGCAACAAATATGTTTTATTGTAAAGCTTGGACAGATTACATATGCAGATTTGGAAGTCTGGTGTTGCAAAATGAAAAGGATATTTACCTGTGAGCCCCACCAGAACTTTTCCCAAATGTGAAAGATGAAATTTCGGTTTGGAAGTCGTCGACTCCAACTGCAGAATTTCCACTTCACTCATAGTGTTATGCAGTAGTAGCTGAACCCCAATGTAATTTCATAATCAAGTAAGGGTAGAATTTACATCAGTTCAAGTTTAGAACCATGTATTATTTCAATATTTATCTATGTTAAGAACTTCTAAATCAGGTTATCTTTAAAAAAATATCTTGGGTTAAGATTTAGAATCTTCTACATTTGAATTTATGGTGTTATGGTGCGTTCAGAACAAACGCAGCTGAGCGTGACGCGAGCGCAACACAACCGCGACGCGTTTATATAGTCTTTCCGAAGTTATTTGGTCAAACGTAAAATTGGGGTATAATCAGTTACTGCATGAACTACTTCTAAGATCTAAGCAATTTGTATGTAATCGCTTCTCGTACTTGTCTGGAATATTTTGATAGTCGACCTTAGTAATTGCAAATAAAACGGCGCTGTCGACGCACAAATCGCAATAAGAATTCCGCAAAAACTGCTCGATAAATTTGGTAAAAATTGCAATATTAAAGCCACAATCGACATTGCAAAAGATACTCAAAGCTGCACATGCGATCAGCATAAATCTTACAAAATAAAAAATATAAAACCCTGGTTTGCCATCTACTATACGAAATAATTTGACGTCCTAATCCAGACCGCTGAAATTCCCTAAAACTCCGCATTTTTCGCCAAAAAACTCAACGCCAGTTTAATTTAGAACAACCGCAAGTCTGATTATAATTTTGGTCTCGACCACCTAGAGTTTGTAGACGCCCAACCAAAGACATTAATATACAGGGTTATTCACGCTATGCGGCACGGACGTTTGCGGCTAGCCCGTTTGTATTTGCAAAGTATTATTTGATGAATCCACAGACGC